ATTCTTAAAGCGGCACAATACATGCAAAACAAATGAGAACGAATATACGATGTAGGATTTATATTCGTTTATTTATTTATATTGATATTCATCTTATCGGACACGATTTCATTTCAGATGCCAACTGGAAAAGGTTTTGTTGGTGGTTCCAGAGGAGGACGTGGCCGAGGTAGAAATTAATTGAAACTCACTTTATTTCAGACAGATATATATATATATATATAAAGAGCGCTCGCTTTAGGGATTAAAAATCTCTAATCAACAACTATAACACCGCATACTATTATCATGTCACATAGGGCGATTGCGTAGTTGTTTTTCCGAGGAATATCAATGCTATTTGCGATATATACTCCAGCATATGTTATGACAATTAATACAAATATATAAGCTAATGGAATGTAATGAATCCGTAATCCGTACTTTCTCTTCTCTTCTTACCGTGCTTGCATAACACAATCAAGAAGTGTTTGGGTTATGCTAAACATATTTTAGGAAAAACTTCTTAAAAAAGCAAACCTAGGCAGTAGGAGACTATCCTACTTTAACCTAGAAACACTTTATGAAATATGTAACTTAGTACAGTTTTTAAGAAAGGAACGAACTGATGATCGAATAGATATGACTAAAAATCTAACGTTGCCTAACAATATATACATGTATCTTACAGTTAGCTGTAATAAAATTATTTTTTTAGCAATGATATGTAAAATTTTCATAACTGTAAATTAATTTTTAAAATTTTTGTATCTATCGCTGGGGTATGAGGAACGTGCACGTACACAAAGTTGCTAACAAAGTGAGTAAAACTTTAGACAAAGAAAAATCGATAATATTTTCATTAAGAGCTTACAACTAAAGGTGAGTCTAAGATGTAAGCCTTTGGTGCAAAAAAAATTATTCTAAATTTGTTCAAGAAAATCTTAAGTAAATTAATCTTCGATTTTCTTTCAATTTAAAAAAAATATCGTCGCATATTACATTTCTTAGTTGAATTACTATGCGTGCGAATTCATTTGTTTCGCCTCATATAAACTCTGCATTTATTATATGTTTTTACTTGCGCTAATACTGCATAATCATTCCTATATATATATTTGGACTATGGTGTGAAAAAATTTATCACACCATTAAACTTTTGAATTTTTTTATAGTTGAAAATTTTCAACAACTATTTACGGAAATAGGCGAAATTCCTCTACATAATGTGTGCGTGTGTGTGTGTGTGTGTGTGTGTGTGATAGAAATGAAAAACTTTGACAGGATTTTCTTTACTTTATTGTAAGTACGCAGGCACTGTACAATATGTTGTAAACTTATTAATAAGTACCACACAATTGTTGCACACATACAATCCCTTCAAATTATGCCCAGTGCGCTCAGTCTCTTCCTCGGTCTTTCACTCTCATACCATTTCTTTCAATCTCTCTCTCTCCCTCTCTCTGTCTCTATCTCTCTTCTCTCTCTCTCTCTCTCTCTCTCTCTCTCTCTGAATTATCATTTAACGAATTGCTTCTCTATGCCATTCTGTGCTTCACTCTCACTCCTATTCGCCAATTACAATATGGTTCTCAGCCTCTTTATGAATATTTTCATATTTTCTCACACAATAGACGTAAGTGCATTTATGCTTATATATTACTTTAGCAAATTTTCTATACTATATTTAAGGAAGCCTTATGAGACAAGAAAAAAGAGAAAGGCATATTACAGACTAGCATCTCAGCAAATTTTGCATTGATAAACCTAAAATGTTTTTACGTTACTTTGTATGCATACATATGCATGCACATACATATATGAATGCAATAAATTTTATTATTATGTAAACAAATGATGGAATCAAGATTAGCTTAAGTTATCTTTCTTATGAGAATTCACAGCAATAATTTTATGTAAATTGTTTTGGTTCTAATTTTTAATAGATATCCCCTACATATATCACATAATACAACGATATCGTTATAGTTGCAACACCCAGAGATCCTCTCTTGAAACGCCATCAAGTACAACTACGTCTACATTTAATCAAAATTATATTCTGTAAGAACTTGAGCCGATTTTAGAACACAATTCGAATGTGAAGACAAATACAGTTCGTGTATTCGCGATCTGAAGAACTTCTTTAGTCAGCAATTTATTACTCTGAGGTCGAACGTACAATGTAATAGAGATAGAGTTAAAATATATGATATATGTCAACTTAGAAATGTATTCCAATCCCAGTTGATTCATCGGCAGGCATCACTTGAGACAGTCGGCTAGATATTCGCTAGCTGTGTCCATTGAGATAGATATTCACTTTTTGTGACTATTCACCCGTCGTGTTCCCGCTTTCATTATTCGTACCGACTTTACTTATTGATTTATCTAAGCTTATTATCTCATGTCTCCATGCTCTCCCATTTCCATCACCAAATTATATTTGTTGCTTGTTATCTTATCGCAAACATCAATACTGATTACATGGCTTGAGCTGTCACTCCATTTAAACTTGATGATTATTAATTTTTGTTCAGATGAATTAACGGAGATATTATATCCAAAATGTTATATATCCCGTTGAATACATATATACATATATAATATTTATTGCATTCGCTTTCTCGAAGTTCGCAATTAAAGTAATATTAATTTTGTCCTATTTCGACTTAGCTGGTCTGAGATGTTCTGCCAAGGCCACCTTTCAACGATAAATCCTACCTGCCATATTGTTATTGCCTTAAGAAAAAAATTAATGACTAATTCTTCATAATGACTAATGAAAACTTGAAGCGGAAGTGGCAATACTTGTTTCTTCCTATATGAAGTCAATGTTGCGTATACATAGATAAATAAATGTAAAAAAAAAAAGAAATAATAATAAACATAAATAATAAATAACAATAAATATAAAATCAATACAATAAATAATAAAAGTCTACCCAATCGTTGAAAGCAAAATTAATTCTTCAGAGTTTTGCGTGAAGCGGCGAATTGGGCTAAACGGTAGCACGTCGTCCTATAAAATCCCATGGTTAAGTCGGCTCGTAGAAATACTTGTCAATCAATTCTATTATAGACTGATAAGACAGATTACGATTTTGTACAGCACAGGAATCGGAAAAACGTAGCAGTAGATATAACGGGACTGTGTTTATGACGCACTATTAGAAAATTTAATGATTTAAGAAAAGTAGAGCAAACGTCTATGAAAATTTCCAATTGATCACATTTTCGATTGCAGATCACTCGACCTAATAAAGCATATTCATTACCTACTGTAGATGAGACCAATTGACTCTTAAGTGTTTTGTTCACATCACAGACGATTCAGACCCTTTTCAGGCCTTTTGTAAAATCCACTTATGTGCAAATCTGATAAACTCACCCGAACTAGGACGATCACTGTAACGTGTACAATATACCCAAGCTGGCCAGACAATTGGTCCACTGCCACCACTCGTTGAGCTCGTGCTGGAACATGTCTCTTTATTGTCATCGAGTGAAGATTTACTTGCACAATTACCGGTAACTTTGGCACTTTCTGTTGAATTGTTACATGAGGTAGATGTTAATAGAGCTGTTGTTGGTTGGGCTGATGCTATTGTTGGCTGCGCTTGAGATTGGGGTGACACAGCGGGAGTTTGTAAGGGAGATAATTTTACTAAATCCACAGAACTACCGCCACCATAACTACTACTTACTACTGTACTGCTTGAGTCATTGCTATTCGTGCACATACTAGCTACCGATACCGAAGTAGAATATGTTTGCGTTGGCGATGGCAATGCATCGCTTATATCATTGGAATTAGTTGCATGATTGTTTGTTAAATTCCTCTTTGACGAGCGAGCAATTTTACTCACATTATTCGCTTTTCTACTACATTCGCTTAAATCATTATACTGATTTCTACCGAAATCGGCTTTCAATATATTATCTATACTAAATTTTAAGGCTCTCTCATGCAATTGCTCGTGATCGTTATTTAGTAAAGCGGATGGCAGGCGAGCTTGCATCTGCGTTTGCAGTTGATTCAGTGTGGACATTACCTGCGTGGAAGGCGCTTGTTTACTGAGAGCACTTAATTTAGCCAACGTGTCGCTGGGCACCGCTGCGTAATGCTGCGGTTGGAAATTATATTGTTGAGGTGGCACTGTTAAATTGCTGGCCATAGCAGCGGCGGCGGCCGCGGCACTTATTTGGCCAATTTTACTAAACGAATTCACTGACAAAGGAGATTGCGCCAGAGCCGTGTTTTGCGTGCTGCGTAAACTAAAGGCACTTGCTCTTGCTGCTGCCATTAATTGCATTTGGTGTTTCATCAACTCCTCGGCGTAAAGGTGCGATTTCCTAAGAAACTCCTCTTGAAAGGGAGAAATTGCTGGGCAGGCGGGATTTGTGGGGAAACCGAATGGCACAGAAAATCTTAAACTGGAGGCCAAAGCAAAAGGATTTCTTTGCGTTGACTTAGACGTACGCACAGTATCGGCGTTGGTATCTTCATCTTGAGAGCTATTTGACTGATTATCGTTCATATCCAGTAAGCTGACTCTTCCACCGGGATCTTTAGGGGGTTTGGAAGTGGTGCCTTCTAAGTCATCTACATTTTGAACTTCACGGCCCACCGATAATTCACTGCACATACTTTTAGTCTCATCGAGTTCTTCGTCTACGATCTCATCGTCATCCTCATTTTCGCCAATAAATAATGGATGCCGACGATTCGATGTGCTAACGGTAGTTGTTGTAGTAGTGGTAAGATTGTCACAATCTTCATCTTCATCGCTATCGATTCGGACAAACTCATCGCCTTTTGTTGGCTGCGAATTTTTACAACATTCTGCAAACGTGGCCGTGGCAGCCATTGCTGGCGGCGGCGGTATTAAATAATCAGCAGCAATGGTTAAAGTTTGTTGTACGCATAAACGCGGACTGGAGGCACACTTTTGCAACACCAGACTATAGTCTGGGTGCATGATCTGGCCGGCTGGCTGGCTGGCTTATCACTTAAAATCACTTAATTACTTAAAATAATAATACTTCGCACCTGACGTTTATTTTAAAAGAAGAAATTGAAAAAATTATCTCTTAACTGAGGAAACAATAAAATGCCGACGGCTTTTCCCTTCGCGATATACATATATATTTATTATTAAGTACACATAGTTATATATCTTTAAGCAGGGAAATGAATTAAAAAACACACACACACAGTCTGCACAAAACGTTTATTTTTATTCACGAAATTGTTAAAATTAAATTTGATTTTACTCGCTCAACATTCTCTCAAAGTAGTTACTATTATTATTATTATTATTATTATTAATTTTAACAAAAGATACCGTTAAATTTTCATTTCTCGTTTCAATACCAGCAAAAAGAGCAAATACTAGCAGCAACAACAACAACAACAATACAACTACAATAACGACGAACAAAAAAGTTTTATTTCATTATATTGAGCGTTGAGATAAAAAGCATGCCTTCCGCCGCTTGCAATTATCACTTGTACAATTTAAAGAGCGTCGTTTAACTGAAGAGTGAGCGAACTGAATTAGTTCAAATTGGCAATAACGTACGAGACATCAACGTTGCTAAAGGAGGTGTGTTCAATAGCTAATCTACACTCAAGCGGCTGCAATAATAACGATAACTGTTGTAAGAGTGAGAAAACACTATATAACTTTATTACTTTACATATGTCAGTTTATATAGAATAACAGTTTTAACAGTTTTTCAATGAGAGTTGTTAAGAGAGTGTTCTCATTCATTTGCTCTGGCTATGCCTTATAATATTGTTAACTCTTTCTCGCTCGTAGGAAACTCTATTTGCTGCATATCGATGTTATAAAAAAAACAAAAAACGAAAAGGTTTCAAACACAAACAAAAAAAAAATGTTAAAAAAAAAAAAAAAAAAAAAATTTTACTACCAATGCACTTTCAAACAAACATTAAATATATATACAAGCGTTTGTATATAGATTATTCAGGCTGTCAGTTGAGGTTATGTTAAGTGTTCATCTCTCGTATATTTGTTAATTAAGTGCAACGCCACGACATTTGAGCTTGATTTTTTTTTTGTTCCCTTGTTCCTTTACATTGTTACTATTGTTCTTGTTATTGTTGTTATTGTTGTTAATGTTTCTGTTTAAATGGGTTTGTGCTATGCTTCTCTTAATACATTCAACTAAATATGTATATATATGTGTTTGCATGTGTTTATAGGAAACATTCCTATTTATATCCTTTTGCTGCATTCGCGCACTTCATTATTTTCAATTTTCTGTTTTAATTTTCTCAAATTTATTTACTGTTGAAATGCTGGCCGAGTATTTTAGTATCCAACACTCACTTATTTGCACTTTTAATGCCCAGCATTATATGTGACAATGTTTGCAAATAGCTACATAGTTACTTGCATTTATATTCATTATGAAAGCATATACGTGAATATATGTATGCATGCTTGCATGCATGCACGCTTGTATACGTCCATATGCATATATAATTATACCTATCTTTTAATTTAACACATTTGTTGATAAGACCAGCAACAACAACAAAATGGCTCTAACGATGTGCATGCGTGCACATATATGCGTATGTATCAGCAATATGTATATATATATATATGTTTGCTTAAAGTGTAACTAAAATGAAATTACACAATGACAGGTTGTCTTGATTCTTAAAAATTAAAAGAATTAGTTGACTAAACTAAATTAAAAAAAATAAATAAATAAATAAAAAAATTGCTTACTTTAAACGATCGAAAATATTTTGAATATTAAATGACTAACTACGTAACGCAGCGTATTTAACACGAATTTACTCTACTCTGCACTATCTGCATACATAACCTCATTCATTACTTTTACAATTTCCGCTAATAACGGCTGAGGCTTTGCCATGAACATTGTTTATCCATTAACTTGTTGAATTATCAAGCAAGTTGCAAGCAATACATTAGATTCATCACCTTTCAGTCATAATTATATTCTACAAATTATTTATTTACTTTGTTATTACATTAAATAAAATCAACCTACGGTCTAAACGTTTACACTTTAATTAGAAAGGGCTTGCATTTCATACCATGCCAGCTTCTTCCATTTTCATATATAATGTTATAATATTTTTGCTTGAATTTGTTTCTTTATTTTCGAATTTTATTCGCGAGCAGCATAAGCGGAAAAAGAAATCATCATAACATCAGAGCATTATGTTTTCCTGTGTTTGGCACCATCGCTTCTGGCTTGATTCAAATGCAAAAGCTCATTAACAGTCGATACAAGCTTATATGGATTATGCCTCACTTGCAAGAAGACAAGCACTAGTTCTAGAAAACGACTTAATTTTATTGAATCAATGATTATGATAAAATAAATGAGATGCGTATATTGACGGCATCATTACATCGACTGGACTATGAAATTTTCAATGAGCTAATCATTACTGATCAAAGCAACAGCTTTAAAATTTTAACTTTCTATACACTGAGGATAATAAGAGAAATGCGAACCTGAAGAATCAATCAAATCAATAGATTGTTAACTACGAATCGATCCGGTATTACTGAGGCATATTGTGAACTTGGGTGCTTTTGACGAGGGCAGACAATAACGAAATATGCTTACGTTAGTTATGTAAATTATATATGAAAGCATGTAAGGCAAGATAGTTGTGTTTATTTCCATCTAACATGATGTTAAACAATTCTTATCTAACAGTAGATTCGTTGAAGTTATCTTGCTCAAGTCAGCTTCTTTACCTACAACATATAAACAAGCATTTCTTCAAAGTAGATAAACATATGCGTATCAAATCTATCTTACAATCTGCTTAAGTTATGCTTAAGAGTTTCAAATAATAATAATATAAAAAAGATATATATATATATATATATATAAAAAAAACAAAAACAAGAAAATTCAATCAAAAAGAACTCTTCCAATACGGAGTTACATTAAAAGAGAGTAAGAAATAGCGCATATTCATCCATGGTCTTCTACATGCGCTTGTTCACTAGCATTTTGTTCGCATAATTGCGAGAAGCCACGGGTTTTTTTCTTTTTTTTTTTTTGTTTGTATGCCAAGTAAACCAAATTACCGCAAAATGTTTAAAGAAAATCTTCATAAATTTTACACCAAAATCAACAAAAACAACAAGAACAACAACAGCAATGAGAAAAATGGCAATATTTACTAACAAAACAACATAATGATAGTGTTGATGATGTTAATGTAATGATTTTCAATTTCAAATTGCCTGCTAAAAAAGGTTCAATGAATTCGATTCGATGAAAGCAGCCAATTTAGTTAAGCCGACAGCCAGCAGTTAACCAGCCAGCAAGCTAACCAGCCTAGGCAATAAACAAACACAGATAAATTTACACAATAATGAGCTAATAAAATCTGATGAAAAAAGAAAAAAAAAAAAATTTTATATAAATGAATGTTGAACAATTCGAAAAACTAACAATAAATGAGTTTATACGCAAGCATATATACACACATACACACACACACACACACACACACATGCGCGCACATACCACAATCGCATACATCGATTTTGTTGAAAACATGCTGAAAGTGTCACTTAACGTTTATATAGAAGAGTAAAAAAAAGAAAAAGAAAAAAAAGAAAAAAAAAAAGAAATGGTTTTTAGCACTCACTTACACGGTTTTTCAAGTGAATGTATTATAAACATTATTATTATTATTACTATTATTATTATTATTAGCTCGATCGTCATCATGACGATCGTGAATGTTAGTTACTCTAAGGTAAAACTGAGAAAATTGAACGTTGAACGCTTCTGATAGTCTTACTTACTTAGTAGTAAAATTGTTCATAGTAGCCAAGTTTTATTGTCGATTTGTTGCAATTGCAGCAGCAGTTGTCGGTCTTTGCGTTAACCAAATTCAAAATTGTATTGTGAAGAAGAAAAGAAGAAGAAGAAGCGAGCAAAATGGAACATTTAATTCATCGTCCTTTCAGTTTGACTGTGCAAAGGTGTTAGACAGATTATATATATATATATATATATATATATGTATATATATATATGTAATGCTAACCATTGCCATTGTTGTTGTTGTATCTACATATATGCATACGTACAAGTTTAATCGTTTATTTGGTTAGACGTTGTTATTGCTGTTTATCCATACGTAATATGTTTCCAAATTGCAAATGACTGCAAGAGTGCCATTACCGCCAAAAAAATAACTGTTCGAGAGAGTAGAAAGAAATTTTTTGCAGGAAAATAGTAAACACACACGCGCTCAAGCACAATAACAGCGCAGTGAAGCAATTACTCTATGACGCTGGTGAGGACAACAATTGGTTAAATGTTTTTGTTATTATGTTTTTCTTTTTTTGCTCCTTTTTTTTTTTTTTTTTTTTTTTTTTTTTT